AGGGGAGGGTCAGAGAGGGAGGGAGATACAGACTCTGAAATAGGCTACAGGTTCTGAGCTGGCAGTCAGCACAGAGCCCGACGCGGGGCTCGAACCCATGAACCGCGAGATCATGACCTAAGCGAAAGTCGGACGCTTAACCGACTAAGCCATCCAGGCACCCCAGGTGCAGTTGACTTTTACACCAGATTCTTACTTACTTTTAAATCTGAAACAGAACTAGGAGTCCTTCACTAGTATTCCCAAGGTAATACATCAGCTTCAAGATAAATCCTGCTGGGTAACAAATGCTTTTTTACATTTAGAAGGAAAGTATATAAGTAAAGGCATGCTTGGCTTTAATTGTATGCTATAAACAAAACAGCCATATGTTTTATCTGCAGTCCACTCCTGTCCTCTAGGTCTTGAGTTCTTATGTCCAACTATTCACTTGCCTTTCCAGTAAAGTATCTTAAGGCATTGCAAACCCTTTGAGGCCCAAGAAGATAAACCCGTGATGGGCACCTCTGCATCTGACAACCATTTCCTCTTTGGCTCCTCTGGTATCCAGGACAGGAACCAACATATATGGAGTTGCACAATCAGAAACCTCAGAATCATCCTTGATGTTCCTTGTCCCTCACTCACTCCCTCTCCTGTTGCTATTCATTCTCCCACCCCATGCTTTTTTTATCTCCCAAATAGCTCTCACATCCAACTTTCTTTTCTTCTTTATTGTCATCATGTTATGCCAGGCTACCATGGTTTCTTGCCTGGACCACTAATTTGTCTCCACTGTATCCATTCTTGACACTGACATATTTTCTGTGTTTCAGCCAGAAGGAGTTTTGTTTTTGTTTTTAATAATTTTTTAATGTTTACTTATTTTTTCTTTTTTTATTTATTTATTTTTTTACAAATAGGTTATTGTTAAGTTGGTTTCCATATAACACCCACTGCTCATCCCCACAAGCGCCCTCCTAATGTATATTTATTTTTGAGAGAGAGAGCATGTGTGCATGTGCATGTGGAATTGGTGGGGGGGGGGTGTGCAGAGAGGGAGAGAGAATCCCAAGCCCTGACATGGGGCTCAGTGTCACAAATGGTGACATCGTGATCCTTAGCCCATATCAAGAGTTGGACGCACAACCGACTGAGCCAACCAGACCCCCCCCCCCGCAAGGAAAATCTGTGTCACACTTTTGTGTAATACATTTAGTGACTTTTTGCTCTTACTTTAAAGGTACTTAAAAGCCTCTGCTTAATATGGGCATTGCCTCCTTCTAGTTACAGCTGCATTCATGCTTATTTTCTCTACTTAATATTGATCTTTAAGTTCCTGAAAATGATCTTGTATTCCCTACCTCAGAGCCCTGTGCATTCTCCTGTAAGAATGAATTCATTCTTACTCCTTCACATCTTTGCTCAAAAATTAAGTTTTATGAGCTCCTAGTATGATGTTCATCCAGGATGAGCTCCCAGTATGATGAATTCCCAATATGATGTTCTTATTATTTACTGTCACAGCACTCTTTGTCTCTTTTATAAAATTAATTACAGTCTTATCAAAACTATATTAGAATATTATCTGGCTCTATGAGTAAAGTGTCAAGTCAGCGAATATAGGGACTCTTTTTTTAATTGTATCCCCAAAAGATATCACAGAGGCTGAAATTTACGCTCAATAAATAGTTTAAAGAATTAATAAATGATACATAAATATGTACAGATATTATTCGTATGTATGTATACTCAGAAGTAGAGCTTTTTTATGCAGTGGTGGTCCTATTTTCACAGAAACATAAACTAACATACCTCTATAGGATATAATAAAAATTGTTACATTATCACTTGTTCTGTCCCAAAATGATATAATTTTGAATACAATTTTGTTGTTTTCAAAAGAATTCCAGGAGGAAACCAAAATGTGTGTGTGCATACATACACATACACACACTCTATTTACACTATGAGAATTCCTATATATATGTATATATATATATATATATATATATATATATATATATATACACATACACCACACACACACATATATATTACTATTTGTCAATTTTTCACCAAGCTACCACATTATAAATCTACAAATGAATTATACCAGAAAAAAATTGCGGTTAAAAAAGTCTACCTTGTTGTCTAGAAACCATGAAGTGAGAAAGGAGATGAGGAATAAAGTCAGTTTAAGCTATTCAGTGTCTAGAAGGTTCCATGGAGATTAGAAAGATTAAATAGGTGGAATGAGCAGAATGTTTAAATTCTCCAGGTAAATTCTTTTTCCTCTTGTTCAGACTCTAGGCTTTACCAACTACTAGTTTTCTCCTGTATTCCTGGCAAAGGCATTTTTTTGTGTGTGTGTGTTCAAGGTTACACTTTCTAACCAGTTATTCATTCAATAAATACAGATTCCTTTTATAACACCATACTGGTCATTGGGGATAGATTACTAAGCTAAAACCACATGCTTCTTGCTGTCGTTATACTTGAAAACTGGGAAAAGACACAGCCATTAATCACAAAATCAAGCTGGTGTGTTTATAGTTATAATTTGAGATGAGTGCTTGGACAGAAAGGCCTAGGCCAGGTCTCTGAAACTAAAGGAAACTTAGCCAGGCTGGAAAGGTCAGCAAAGATTTCCTTCTGAATATGCTGCTTAATGGAGAAGGCACACAATCAGTAGGGGTTAATATGACTAGGGGTAGTAGGTGATGGCTAGCCAAGAATCAGAGAAGTCTTGTGTCCCTGGAGCACAGAAGAGTGAGGGTGATGAAAGGCGAGTCTGGAAAGGAGGACAGTCTAGAAGGCCTTATATGAGTCATGGGTGAGAATTCTAGAAAAATGAAACAGTATCAATAAATTTTATGCAGTGATGTAACATCATAATCCAGTTCTGCATTTTCAAAAACTGAGCGCACAGATAGATTTAACAGAAGCGAAAACACACATGGAAAGGCTAGGGAGGATCTTAAATTGTGTGAGCTTTTGCTTGTGCAAGATAACTTGTGAGAGACAAAGGCACTTCTTGATCATTTTACAAGTCCTCTGCTTCCTCTCAGAATAGAGTATGGAGTATGGAGTATGGATTAGCTCTCATTGAGAAGACTTTATGTCTTTCACCTGCATACAGATGAGAAGCAGTGATACAGAAAACAGTCAACAATCCAAGATGAAACGAGTTCACTTTTCATTATACAGAAGGAAGCTGAAGAAGAGAGAATATAATCAGGACCTCCCCTAGAAAGGAGGCAGACTTGAGATTGATATTAGAGCCTATTGGGTAGCAATTACTATAGCTCTTCAAATATGAGTGCTTCCTGATTCATGAACCTACATGTGGGCACAAGGTAGCTAGTTCAGAAACTATGGACTTGGTAAGTCCTCTTTCAATTCCAGCTCCTCCAATGCAATCCACCTGTAATACACCCAGAGCATTTACTCAAGATCCATATAGCAAAGGAGGAAATACACTCAAACATTCTGAATCAGATAGGGAACAAGATGTTCCATCTATGCACTCTCGTAAAGAATGTCCACATGTAATGGTGGTCTGGATCTTTATCATTTTCTCATGATCTTAAAGGGAACCTGAGACTTTATATAATGTGAATTATTTATTGACTTATGCATATTAAGGCATACTTTGCCTAAATGCATATTTTATTTAAATGGAAAGAAAATGTATCAGGTCATGAGTATTTCCTAAGTTCTAGCTAGAAGGACATTGGTTAAAAGAGTAAAAATTGATCAAATTTATTAATCATTTAGAATGTTTCAGTTCTAGACTTGAAAGATTTTTACTTTCTGCTGGCCTGTGCCGAAAAGCACTGGGTTCTTGCAATTTATGGCTTGCCATATCTATCTGTGTATCTCTGTATCTATGTATCTATCTATCAGTCATCTTCCTTCTTCCTTCCCTCCCTCAATCTTTATGTAGTTGGATGCTGACTGAGTTTGGGGCAATATGCCATATTATAACAACAACTTATAAATTAACTGTTTTACACTTCTACCATGGGCATGTTACCTTATTCCTTTTTTTATAAGCTGATAAATCTGAAAATTTTTATTTTCTCTCATTTACTGCAGGTGCAGTTTTAACTACATATGTAATTAGTTGTGTAAAGTATATATACATATATACACTTATGATGTAAGTGCATAGACATACACATAAATTATACTTTCCTTAATATATTTTTCATTCCCTAATTTATATGTACATATATATCACAGAAAGTATACTGTTGAATAGTGGTTTTGACTTTGAAACCAGATAAACCTGGCTTAAAATCCTGACTCTACCACTTACTAGGCTCTTGAGTGGGAGCAAATTAGTTCGCCTTTTTTTGTAGCCTCAGTTTCTTCAACTGTAAATGAGAGTAAAAACACATTTCTCACAGGTAAGAATTAAGAATGATAATATGTGTAACTATTATTAGAGTTTTGGACACATAATAAATACAGAGTTTTTTTTTTTAGCAAAATGAGAAATGACAGGATATAATTTAAAATATCAATGGTGGATAATGATACTGTTTTCTCTAAAGGTAAATGATAGCAAATGATAGCAAAATGATAGGAAAGAGAGTAGCCTTCAAAGTCAAAATACATGAACTCTACTTGGTTTCTCCTCCAAGTACCACCACCTCTGGTACCATGGACAAATCACACAGTCTCTCAGTTTTACCATTTCTTTACCTTAAAAAAAAAAAAAAAAAAAAAAAAAGGACTTGAACCCTTTGAACTTGCAAGGCTGATATGAAGATTCACTGGTGTGTGTGTGTGGGTGCGTGCACGTGTGTGCATATCACTTCTATCAAAATACCAGATATGTAGTAGGAATTTATCTTCAATGTCATAATCACATTTAACTTATATCTTGAAGTTTTTACAACCTGTTAATATTTGTAATTAGCAGTGTGACTGAGTTTGCTGACAACTTAGGAAAACATAATGATAAAATTTAAAATAGTGAAATGATTCTCTTCTTTTCCCTTTTGATCAAGTTTTTGACACTTTGCCACCCACACGCTATCAGGAGACCATGAGTACCATCCTTACATGGATCCAGCAGTCAGAAACCAAACTCTCTATACCTCAGGTTACTGTCACTGAATATGACATCATGGAACAGAGACTCGAAGAGTTACAGGTCTGTGAATATTTGAGTGTCTTGAACAAACAGTGCAGATCTTATCTATCAAGCAGTCACATTGGTGTAACTTTCCTTTTTACATTGGTGTAGCCTTAAAATAATAGAATTAAAATAATTGTGGCAAGTATGATGGTGTACTAGTTGGAAAAATGAAAAAATTTTAAATGCCCTATTTTACGCATTTGTGCCTTCTTTCCATAAGACAACAATTCCATCTTTGAAGACTATGTCATAGCCTACTTATGAAGTATATTCTTTCTTGTTTAGTATGTATTTTCAGACACATTGATTTTGATTATTATAAAAGCTGTGGTGGTATTTCCCCCCCTTTCTTGCTGATTTATAGCTCCATTCATATTCCTAAACAGTGGTAAAATCAGTGTAGTTATAAAATAAGTTTTAAATGCTAATCTTTTGTAATATCATTATTAGTTTGTTGAGTTCTACTAACTAAATTTTTAGCAGCTTTATCTCAAGTAATAGAAAATACTAATATGAGAAATGAAAGAGATAATTTGTAAGATATTTTAGAATACCCTTCCTACTAATTCTGAAAAGGCCATGTAGTCTATCCAATCACATTTTATGTTTTAAGACAAGAAAGCATTCATTAATTATATTTATGAGCTGAGATATGTCTACATTTTGAGAAAGAAGAAAAAAATTAAAATGTAACTTTTATACCAAGAGTTCCTTTTCAAGAATTAAATTTTATTTTTTAGGAAAGTAATTTTAGAATTATTTCTTCTAAAAAAGTTTATTTAAACATTTCTCAGTATATATTGCCCTGTTTAGACTGCTTCCTCTACTGTCACACCAAGTAAACTATTATTGTTTGATCTTCTATTTTTTTCTTTATGTTTTTAATACTTGCAATGATTTCAAAATTTACTTCAAAGAAAATGTGACTTAATAGAAGTATAGCTTATAGCTTTAAAAAAAGTACAAAGATATAGCAATTAGAGGAGTGGATTAAGTATATACAAAATGGTGGGCAGATGAACAGAGGAGTAAACTGAAAAAAACATTGAAGACAAAATTATTTATAAATGTTATTGAGAAATTGTATTAAGTAGCTCACAGATAGGTAGTTAGAACTTTGTATCAAATGTTACAGCAAAACAAAATACCACATATATTAAAAAGTTCAAAAACATTTCAAGAAGCATAAATTTTGGAGGAATTTTTAAGTAAAATATTTTAAAACATATGATAGAGAAGCACACAAATCACTGGACACAATTGCAAAATTGCAAATCCTGTAAAAATACCAGAGGCGATTTTAAAGAAAGATGAGACCAAGGAAAAATTTTTTCTGAATATGGGAGAAAGACATTAATAAGGAAGTCACAAAAAGAGACACAAACAGCCATTAAACCAATGTAAAGTTGTTACTCAGATTGTGAGGGAGGAGTTACAAATTTATAAAATGAAATGCCATTTTTCATATCTAAGGGGCAAAAAAAAAAGTGATACAACTAGTGCAGGTCTGGCAGCAATGAGCTCCCTTGTCACTTTCTGGTGGGAATGTAAGTTGAATTAAAATTTTGCTGAGAAAAACATTTCAATCCTTCCTAATAACATATAACATAATTTGTGGTGTTATACATATGAAAACTATTTTCATGGAGTCTTTATCTTAGGCAGTAATCAGAATACACGGAAGAAATAATAGATGGAGATACATAGGTAAGTCATAAACATAATTTACAGGAGTGGAAAACTTGAAGTTAATTTGTAGAGCTAATAATGGAGAATGGTTAAATGAACCAGAGAAGCCATTAAATTTTATGTTTTTGAAAAATAATTAATGACGTGGGAAAATGCTCACAAAAAAAGGCCTAGCTCAAAATGTAGTTAAATGCATGTTAGTTATTGTCTAAATAATAAATCAAGTTTAATGAAGTAAAATTAAAGCAAAGTAAAAAAGAAATAAAATGCCACAAAATATACATAAGACATTATACAACTGTAAAAATTATGTATTGATGTATTGGGGGGATATATAAGTCACCTTATAAAAGAAGGAAAGTTTTTATGTGTGTATATAACATGTTCACATATTCAGTGTTTAGTTATACATAGAAAAACTGGAAGTTTACACAAAATCATATATATAAATGGGTATTTTTCCATGTTTTATCTTGCGTCTTTATTATTTCATAACCAGAAATAAATATTGAGTGGAGAAAACCCAAAGATAGACATCCTGTTATAAGCAGTTGCATAGGTTACACAGGACAGTTGTAAAACCAACTTTATAAATTTTCCTCCAAATTCTTCTAGAATTTCACTATGACACTGCAAAAAAAATGTGAAAAATATGAAACCTTAGTTAATGAGCATCAGCAGGCCATCCATATGATACATTACTCAGATTTGTTATCCCGTGTATCTATATGATCTAGTTATGTTTTTACCTAGAAAGATCAGTAGTTGTCTTACTAAAAGCTCAGTAGAATTAAACTAAACTCCCTAACAGTATCATAAATACAGTTATTAATATACAGACAATACAATAAAATTAGATGTGCTAAAACTCTGTTCCATTAAGATATAATTTTGGATATATTTGATGTTCATAAAAACAGGCATAGACTTTAATTAAAATAATGTGCAAATTACTCTTATGATAAACAGAATTTAGTCTTTTTCAATGTTTATTTTTTTTTTAAATGTTTTATTTACTTTTGAGACAGAGAGAGACAGAACATGAGAGGGGGAAGGGTAGAGAGACAGGAAGGTACAGAATCTGAAGTAGGCTTCAGGCTCTGAGCTGTCAGCACAGAGCCCAATGCAGGGCTCGAACCCACGAACATGAGATCATGACCTGAGCCCAAGTCAGAGGCTTAACTGACTGAGCCACCCAGGTGCCCCTGTTTAATTCTGAAAGAAAGAGAGAGGAGAGAGGAGAGAGAGAGAGAGAGAGAGAAAGCACAGCATAATTTAAATTACTATTAGTTATTCTGTAACTTACAGCACATAATCTATTTTTTTAGGTGTTTGAATCACATAGCTTTCGTTTTACTTTATTTTTTTGAACATTTTGTTTTATTTTTTTGAGAGACAGAGACAGAGCACAAGCAGGGTAGGGGCAGAGAGAGGAGGAGACACAGAATCCAAAGAAGGCAGAAGGCTCTGGGCTGTCAGCACAGAGCCGCATATATGGCACTCGAACTCACGCATGAGAGATCATGACCTGAGCTGAGGTGGGATGCTTACCGATCCCATGTAGCTTTCATTTCAGATACATTTAACTGAAGCTGTACAATGAAACTCAATATTCTTCATCAATTAGTATAACACGTACTTTCCTTTTTTTTTTTTTTTTAATTTTGAGGCTTTACAAAGCTCTCTGAAAGAGCAACAAAGTGGCCTAAACTATCTCAGCACCACTGTAAAAGAGATGTCGAAGAAAGTGCCCTCTGATATTAGCCGGAAATACCAGTCGGAATGTGAAGAGGTTGAGGGCCGCTGGAAGAGACTGTCCTCTCAGCTGCTTGAGCATTGCCAAAAGCTAGAGGAGCAAATGGCTAAACTTCGAAAAATTCAGGTAAGTCAAGATTGGACTTTTTGTATCCTTTTTTTTCCTTTGCTTATTTCTTCCCTAATGATGTGTTATGAAACTTAAAGGCAAACAGACATTTAACCTCCATACTTCTTCAAAGTCAGTTATAAGATTTAAAGATGCACCATTTTCTCAGACAAGTGCATTTTGCCTCTTCCTTTTAAGAAAACCATAATTAAGAGTTCTACTTCTCATATTTCCTTAGAATTATATTGTTTTCACCAAGACCGATAGGACTTAAAACATATTTTTAGCTTAATACTTTTCAGAACTAGTCTTAGCACTAGTCTGGTTGTCCTGTAAAATATAGGTATCATTTAGCTTATGAATAAATAATTACGCGTCATGCAATATAGTCTTTTTATCAGCATATTTTTCTTGTGATTTTGTATATAAATTTGACCTTATTACATTCCACAGACCAGCCCTACTCACTTAATTTGTTTGAATGGTGCCACCATACTACTAATCAGCTACGCTGAAAATAGTAAACCAACAATTGCATTCTAAAATCTAAAATATTTAGTGATAGAGGTAATACCTCTCTTATGTGGCAAATTATTGTGAAAAATCTTAAGGCTGGAATGAATCTTTGACATCATCATAGCATGGTGGAACAAGACACTTCTATGTTTAAGTCTCAGCTCAGCTATTAGTTGTTTGTTTTTACCTCTTACAAACCAAAAGAATGAGTAGTCCTAAAACATTCTATAAAGCACAATTTACATATGAACGTGGTTCTACATATAAAGATATGTCTACACACACACACACACACACACACACACACACACACACACACATTTTTGCCAGCGCCAGAGGTAAAAGAGGGTTTAATTACATGGTCTTCGTCAACAAGGAGCTCACATTATAGTGAAAGGAAACGGTAATGGGCTAGTTTCCTATTGCTGCCGTAACACATTAGTAGCTGAAAACAACACAAACTTGCTGTCTTAAAGTTCTAGAGGTCAGAAGTCCAAGATCAGTTACAGTGGACTAAAATCAAGGTGTAGGCAGGGCTCTGTCTTTTCTAGAGGCTTTAGCAGAAACTCTGTTTCCTTTTTGTTGGTAGCTTCTGGGAATGACATGCATTTCTTGGCTGATAATCTCATACTTTTTCTTCAAGTTCAGCAGTACAGCATCTTACAGCCTCTCTCTCTAGCTCTCACACTTCTGAGTCTCTCTTACTAAGAACCGTTGTGATCACTTTGTGCCTGGCTAGACAACTCGGAGTAATCTCCCCATTTTAAAATCCTTAATCTCGTCTGCAAAGTTTTTGTTTGTTTGTTTGTTTGTTTGTTTGCTATTAAGGTAACATAGTCACAGGTTCCGGGGATGGGACCCTGGACACCTTGGGAGGTCATTATTCAGCCAACATAGGAAGTAAATTAAATAGTGCGGTAAACATTGTGACAATAGAAAAGAAGTCCAACATCAACTGGGCAAAGGGGTAACGAAATGTTATGGGTTATGTGAGCTACACCTTTAAAAAGTAGAATTTAGTCAGCTGATAAAGAGGGAGAAAGGCTATCTGACAAACTGAAGTGATACATTCACTTAGCCAGAAATGGTTCACTTTTGGAGAGACAAAAATATGTTTGGAGATTAATAAAATATACTATTAGAAAAATGATTTAGGACTAGGTAATGAGAGGCCCTGGATGCCATGCTTTGCAACGTGAATTACAACCCAATATTGATGGAATTAAAAGTAAAAGTAATTTGGAACTGTTACTGCTATTTTAGTGGGGGAAGAAATGATCATTGTTTCCAAAGCATCACTGTGATAATAAAAAGGACAGAAGAAAAATACTGACACCCATGTGAAGAATGGATTAGCATAGGGTAAGATTGAGGCAGTTACCAAAAAGACCTAATGCAGTAATCAAGAAGCCAGTGATAAGATCTGAACTAGGGCAGTGGCGATGTGGAAGAAACACAAAACCAAACTCAAGAGGTATCAACAAGATGATAGTATTGAAAACTGAAGTTCTTAGATTTAGTCAAATGCTTTTAGAAAGCATTATTATTAATCATATTGAAGGAGAAGCTTTCTATGAAGCACATATTTTCAACAGAAATTTAATTAAGAAGGGAGAAAATAGCACATCTGGGCAGCATATTTGAATTGTGTGGAAAATAAAGGAGCTCAAAAATCATACATTTGAAAAGTAGCCAAAAAAGCAGGAGGGGGAAAAAAGCAATATCTGAAAGAATAATGGGATTTATGTGGCTATTTATAAATGATAAAAGATGCCATTTTTCACCTGATGATTACTTCAGCCTGGTCAAGCAAATAAGAAATTAAAATCAGAAGTTTTCTCTTTAAAGATGACAAAATCTTGTTCTGCAAACTTCTCAACTGGAGGGACTATTTAAACTGTCAACTGTAGAAAACAATTTGTGGAAAAAAAAAAAAGAAAACAATTTGTGGAAGTTCAGGTTTAGGGAGGCTATAAAGACACCATTACATTGAGTTTATTGTTCATAGTTTGTTTTATGTACTGTAAGGCCACATTGTTAGTATTATCATGAGTTGTTTTGTAACTTAAAATTTCTCTAGAGGGGGATATGATTTAATGTTCTCAAGAGTAACATCATAAAACCACATTTGGTAGTAATTTTTTATTTTTAACAATAGCAGACTTCAAACACCAGTGCTCATACTGTAGACCATAAAAATGCAGTCTTAGTAAAAATATGTTTTTCCTGAAGAGCTACTTAGAGACATCCTTCAAACAAGGGAATTGTTCCTGGGCGTGTGTTCATAAATATCACCATGATGAATTTTGTTAAGAGAAATCAGCACCCCAGTAATGCTTAAAATGGGTCTCTGATTCCAGAATCACATAAAAACTCTGAAGAAATGGATGGCTGAAGTTGATGTCTTCCTGAAGGAGGAATGGCCTGCCCTCGGAGACTCAGAAATTCTGAAAAAACAGCTGAAACAGTGCAGGGTAAGATTTTTATATGACCCCTATCATATGAAGACTTTTATATGGGCATTATTATTTGGTTATGTCAATGGTCCTTAACCAGAGTGATTTTGCTCCCCTCAGGGACATTTAGCAATATCTGGAGACAGTTTTGTCACAGCTCAGAGTGGGTTGTGTAGAGGATAGGGACCTGGGGTGCTCTTTGTAACCCCCGATGTGCTGAACAGCCCCTCACAACAAAGAATTAGCCAGTTTAAAATGATGCTAGTGCCAAGGTTGGGAAACTGGGTTAAATAAATGAGGAACAAAGAAGCATTATCGTTTACTCAACGCTCATTATTTTAGTGTAAAATGAAGTTTAATGTAAAGGCAAAGAAACCTTTGGGCTGTCTGTTACGTCTTACTGCAGATTGTCATTCATACTGTGTTACTGTGCTTAGACATCCTGCGCTGAACTCTAATATTACACAGTATGGATTTCTGAAACGGTATTCATTATGCCATTGTCATGTCATGGAAAGGAAGTAATGTAGCTCTTTAAAGAATTTGCTTTGCTAATCCAAGCTAAAAAAAAAAGCTTACAAGTAACCTCCACACCCATCATGCTATAAACAATCGTGGCGATATCCTACATTTGAAAAATGAAATCATTTCAAAGCTAGTAATGTATATAGCCCATTTTCACACATTTTTCCAACAAGGAATCATACTTTTATGTCCTTTTTATCTCATCTAATAGAATACAGACAATTCCCTACTTGAATCACACCATCAAAACCACTGAACAGGTTTTGCAAGGCTGAGACATGTAGATATATATCTGTAGGTGGGGGTGTATCACATTTTAAAGGAAAAGACTCACTCTATCATGAATCCTGATTATACGTTTCCTCTCTATGTTGTATTTCTAGTATGTTGTGGTAATTTTCGCAGCTAGCTTAAATTGATTTATTTCCTTAGCTTTTAGTCAATGATATTCAGACAATTCAGCCCAGTCTCAACAGTGTCAATGAAAGTGCACAGAAGGTAAAGAGTGAAGCGGAGCCAGAGTTTGCTTGCAGACTTGAGACAGAGCTCAGAGAACTTAACACTCAGTGGGATTACATATGCCGACAGGTACGTACAGCCTCTTGCACTGTGGCTTGCCTCTGTTTAATTAAGTAAATTTTCTTAATGTCTCCCTTTACCATTGCCCTTTTTGAAAGTTTAATCTCTGAGTATGTCGATGTTTTAAAGTGTGGTTAATTCAAACTAGCCTTTGTCTAGCATAAAAAAACATTTGTATGGTAGATATGTTAAATAGTATATATTCACCTTATTTGGAATCTAAGATGGCCTTAAATACTGAACAGTAATGTCCTGTTTTTAAGCATGATTTTCATTGAATGTTTGCTCTGGTGCATAACTTTGTAATCGTAATTGGATTAGCAGAACACACTTTACACCTGTATACTTGGCACCGAAATAAAATGAATGTAAGAATAAGATAAATAATTTTCACATCAGATTATTAAGAAAGGCATTTATTTCAGTAAATGAATTAACTTTGGGAAATAGCTAAGAATATCTCAGTGGGGGAAATAAAACACAAAATAACTCTGTATCTGAGTTCTTCTTTTTTATACAGCAGAGTGTTTTGTAGATATTATTTTTAATTTTAAGATTACATTATGGAAACTAAATGTTATATATACAAGTCGTATATATCTAATACTTCTTGTACCAAAGATGAAAATTTGACCTAAAGCAATGATTATTTTTCAATACACCGAGACCTTTTTTGAAGTTAATGAGAGGTTTCATCTTATGTGTATTAGATGCAGCCAGTCTTTCGTTATTTCTAAGTAACCTTTAAAAGTTGAAAAGAAATCGTGCCACAAGGCAAAAATTAAATTTGAAAAAGGAAAGAATTTAGAAAAGTAAAAGGCAAGGCAAGTCACCCAGATAATACTGTCACTGGCAAATGCTCAACAGTTCTATTAACTCACAGACGAGATAGCCCTGGGTCAGCTAGCTTGCATTCTTCTCTGGAGTAAGCCAGCTCTAGAAGGAATGTTAGGTAATAGATTATACCATTTATGTTTTCCTGCAAGGCCAGTGTGAAAGGCATTTGTTTGTTGGATGTTTCTAATGGATGAATGGAAAGAAGAAATTGGAGCAAGAAGGAAAATGTTAGCAAGCATGTATATACAGTCAACAATATTACTAAGACCTCGAGATCTTTATATATTGGAGAAGTGTAATTTTTAAAGTATCTCTAGTCTTAAAATGGCCTTGTTTAAGACCTTATGTCTGCTATAAAATATACCACAGACATGTCTTTTAAGAGAACAATAAACACATTAGACTACTTCCTAACACAAATTCCATAGATTCCACCCGTGTTTTCATCCCATCCTAGGATATTTTACATCTCTCTGGTTCTTCTTGGAATGTGTCACACTGGGTATGCTCTGAACTTATGGACAAATGACCTGTGTTTCTTAAGGAAGGTATCATGCAATCAAGAAGAGAAGTAAGACAAAATACAGTAAAAGCACGGAAGCCAGGCTTGGGTGTTTGGCCTAGTTCAGAGCTCCAGAGAGAATTGAAAACAAACTGTAAATCTATGCATTATAGAAATAGCTACACACAAAATGTGGTGTGATGTTCTTTCTTGGATTAAAATTAACTCATTTGTTTTTACATGCCAGCGTCTGGAAAACACACACACACACACACACACACACACACACACACACACACAAATAGAGACAAAATTGTCCAAATGCCTAATATCCATGGAGATCCTTTGAGATTCTGTGATTTGATTTTCTAGGTATAAAATGGTTAGCATTTTAAATCCTAAAAGTTTTGTATACAAATAAAAACCCCTAACATTTTAGGGGAGCCTGAGTGGCTCAGTCGGTTAAGTGTCTGACTCTTGGTTTTGGCTCGAGTCATGACTCATGTTTGTGGGTTCGAGCCCCACATCAGGCTCTCTGCTGAGAGTGTGGAGCCTGCTTGGGATTCTCTTTCTCTCTGCCCCTCTCCAACTTGTATGCATATGCACACTCTCTATCAAAATAAACAAATAAAAACTTAAACAAAATTTTAGTTATTTCTAAAATAAAGGCTAATCATCATGCAAATAACTCACAAATTAGTGAACCATACTGAAAAGAAGAAAGTGGGAAGGGAAGGAGTTTCATAATTTTACATATCTTTACATTATTATGTCATATGGTTATTAAAGCAACTAATCATATACATAAAAATGCATAATTTTTAGAGAAACATTTTTACTCTTTTTATTACTTATTAGAATATTTCAGTATATATTATTAAACATTGTGTATCAGGTGTAATTAGGGAAGAAAATAAACATGATAAATATCAATCTTCACGGAGGGTATGGTTCAGTAGAGAAGATGGAAAGTAAATGAGTTAACATAATACTGCACAAATGCGTAATTTTAATGTTGACAAATGCTCTGAAGAAAGCCATCAGAATGCTCTGAATGAGACTTAAGGAGCAGGGAGCCTGCTTTTTATTGGGTAGGCAGTTAAGTCTTTTCTGAAGGGGTGGAATTAAAGCCAATGCCTGATTAGTGCAAAGAACCTGGCACTTTGACATGGGGACTAGAGAAAAGTGTGGGTCTAGGATGAATCGGGAGAAACTACTGAGGGAGGGGAGGAGTGAGCATGTGTGAGGAACCTAAGGGAAGCCTCTCTAAGTAGAGCAGCGTGAGCCAGAGGAAACCCAGTGGGAAGCAAGTCATGAACAGTCTCATGAGTCATAGTGAGGACTTAGTATGCACGTTAAGTTCATTGAAAAGGTATTAGGCTTCTACATACAGAGGCGGCCTCATCTCAAGTGGTTGTTTGAAACCTTGCTCTATATTCCTATTCTATGAAGAATGGCCGGAAGTGGCACAGGCAGAAGCAGGTAGGAATTGTACTTGTCCAGGTAGGAAGTACTACTGGCAAAGGGCAGGGAGGGCCTTAGTGGAGTGGAGAAGAAATTTGAAATACATCATCCTCTGGTGACATTATGTTTGGTTCACGGTCCAAACCTCTCCTGATATTTTTCCAAAATCTTCCATAGAGATGGAAATGATTTCAATACTTGTTGATCTGTCTCTCGTTACTCTTTGTGTATTTTCCCGTTATATAGCAAATAATGTGTGGAAGGGATATGTTATTCTGGGAAAACTGGACCACAGTGCTTGTGTGACTCAAACTTTGTTGAGACTTTTTTCCAGCAGGACCTGTCTCCAGTAAGCTTATGTCACTCAGTGTGCTCAACATTATGTGTATGTCATGTAGTCTTATGTTTGTTTTTTTTTTTTTTTTCCTGATCTTTGCCAATTAGGCTAGTTCTTCCGTGTTACATTTTTGGTCAAGAATTCTACACTCACACCCACCTTTGACCTTTATTCTTTTCCTCACATGACACGTTCCTTTCTTCATTTAATCAGATCCTATTGGATATGACAGTACTTGCTGATAAAGAGTGCTTACCTCAAGTCCAGAGAGAGAAGAAGGAATCAAAGTGTATTCAGAGATTTCTGTTTTAAGCAACAGAGTTGGCTGCAGTGCCTTTAAATAATGAAAGAAAGACTTGGGCCTGAAGAGGGAACAAAATTGACTAGCTTAGTGGAGTGCTCAATACTTCCATTTTGGTCATGTTTACTTTGGAGAAGTAGACAATTAGAAGTGCATCTTGAACTGGGCACATAAACTATGTGTATAAAAGTAAAGGTATCATTTATATAAGGTAACTCCTACCTCACAAAGAAAAGATTTCCAAGACTTACTTCCCTAAAATGCTTGGCCAATAAAATTAAAAACTCTGAAGAATGGAGAAGGATTTCTTATGGACTCAGAGGCAAGCATAGTGTGTATGTCCAGGAGCTCTGGAACCGTATGGCCTTGGTTTAGATCTTGCCCCCACCATAACCTACTTGTGTGATCCTGGAAAAGTTGCTTAGTCTCTCTGTGCTTCAGTTCCAGTGTTTATAATGTGGTGATATTAATGCCTACTTTATAAGAATTTTATAATATTCATCAAATGTGTTCATCTTGTAAAGTGTCTAGACCAGTACCTAGCACAGCATAACTACTCTGTACATGCTTGGTAAATAAAATAAGCAGACATGAAATAGACATAAGCCTCCATCTGTAAAATTATAAAATACGTGTCATTTATAAATAAACAGTGCATGATTATATATTTTAATTAATAGCAGCTATAAATTTGTAGTAGTTACCAAGAAACACTGGATATAGAGGTTAGAGGGATGTCATTCTCATAATTTGCAAATTACTGTCTTTTTCTCATTCACTGCATCTTTTGGGTACAGTCATCCCCAGATCCCTGGGTCACTCTTCCTTATTTCTTCAATATTTTAATAACTGACTTACTGTCATCCCTGTATTAATTCTTCCTGATTTCATTGTCTACTCAGATGACTCTTCCAGCGCTCACTATCTTGAAAGCTCCTCCAATGATTATGTATTCTACTCTATCTTAGCTACCCATTCCCAGCCTCATAACCTAGACATTGTCATTACTGGATTCTTCTCCATAATTTCAACCTCAGGTACTCTACTCTGCAGCCATCAGCACCTTGCTTTCCAAGTTCTTCCCCCAGTAATCCAACCTCAAAAATTCTTCCTTCCTAGTGGAATGCATAATCCAGTGATTTTACTGGCTTCCCATTAGAGAAGCATTTCATCTTGACTTGGTCATTCCTTATTCAAAGTAGATTCTATAATCCATCATTAAAAGCACCCTGTGTGTTTTCTTTCAAGTCTTTTGTCCTCTGCTTTCTGTATCATATCCATGTGACAATACCCTACCTAGGTCAGATCCACTTTTCTGCTGACGCTGTGCCTGCACCAGGAAGGATGAACATGGCTGGCGGAAAACACATATCATACTGGCTGGTCTCCCTTGGAAATCATGAGTGTAAACCTCAAGTAGCCTCTTGGTGCTTATTGGTAATCTTACTGCATTTTTCATACCCATTCACAGCCCCACTCCTCTGATGAGTATTTCACAAATTTCTTTCAGCATATCTCTACCAGTTCTTCTCTCCCTCCTGTATGGCAATTAACTAGCTTCATGTTCCAATGAACAAAATAGAAACATTCAGAAGAGAACTTGCACATACTCCCGCTGAGTTGCATGTTAGTTAACAACTCTATTTTCCCATTGTTAACATGACTGACCTGTCATTACTCCCATATAAGGCCAGCCTTTCCACTTAATATGCTGGATACCATCCTCTTTTTTCATCACACAGACATTATGCCACCTGTTGAACATCCGCCTACCTCCTACATCAATAGTATATTTCAGGGTGCCCAGGAGGCTTATTTGGGTAAGTGTCTGACTCTTGATTTTGGCTGATGTCATGATCTTGTGGTTCATGATTTCAAACTCTGTATTGGGCTCCACACTGAGAATGTGGAGCCTACTTGGGACTCTCTTTCTCCCTCTCTGTCAGCCTCTCCCCTGCCAGCACGCTCACTCGTGCTCGCTTGCTTGCTCTCTCTCTCTCTCTCTCTTTCAAAATTAACATACAAACTTTTAAAGAAAAAAACAATGGGTTTCTTTCCTTTCCTCTACTGGATCATTTCCATCAGTAGGGAATGATTCTGCAATATTTCCTGTCATTAAAAATGTACCCCTTGGGGGCACCTGGCTGGATCAGTCAGTGGAACATGACTCTTGATCTTGGGGTTGTGAGTTCTAGTCCCATACTGGGTGTAGAGATTACTTAAAAATAAAATCTAACAACAGCAACAACAACAACAACTTTGCCTCACATTCCTTCCAGCCACTTCTCCATTTTTGTTCCTAGGATTCAGGAAAAGGCCCAAATTGTAACAAAACTGTGGAAGCAATAACTTACACATAACACTTAAAGCCATAAAGCTGAATAAATTTACCTGGAGATTGAGTGGTGATAAGGAAGGGAAGAAATCCAAAGACAGAGCCTTGGAATGATTTCAAGTTTAGAGGTCAAGGCAAATGAATCACTAAAGGTACTAACAGTGGTCATGGAAACTGAAGGCAGACTAAGAAAGAACCGAGAGAAAATGAAAAAATCCTAGATCTGCATATCCATCTTCTGACTCAATACCTTCATATTAATGAATAAATATACCAAGTCCAGCATGCACCCCAAATTCATTACATATTCCCCAGTTTACTATTCTAATAGTTACCCTGGAAGAATAAATGAAACTTCATTTTTTTCCATTTATCCAAGCTAAAACTCTTAAGTCTGGTCTTCTTGTCTCATTGTGCCTTTGTGGAAGCTGTATGATCCAGCACCATATGCCAAGGTACTTGGAAGGACTCACCCTTTCCACAGGGTCTACTGCCTGTGGATCCTGGAATAGTCCACTGGGAATAGTCCACAGGGAATAATTACCTAAACCTTTTTACAGATCCTTCTAAAGTATGAAACAAAAAAATTAATATCTCCGTATGATCGGAAAGAGAACTGTGGGATCTTAAGCTTCAAAAGGACCTTGGAAATCATCTGGTCCAACTGTTAGGTTAGTTATAGAACAGAGATAAAGAAAAATGAGGTGTTATCTCCAGGTTTACTTAACTTGCTCATGACTGAGTCCAGGTATCCTGATTCCAAAGCTGATGTTTTTTCTGGTGCGTTTGTGCCATCACCTCAGAATGACTTCCTGCCTGCTTTTCCTTTAAAAAAAAAAAAAAAAAAATCAGTCCTGATCCCTTTCTTCTGGTTTAGTTTAATAGCATGCTGTTGTTTGTTTGTTTTTTTTTTTAACTACAAGTTTTTGGCTAAGTTCCATTAGTCATTCTAATATTATTGTCACTTTGCCAACTGCCTGAAAAGATGACAGCAGAAGATCGAAGTAGAAATTGAGCAACCTGTTTACTTACAATGATTAAGGGTCATTGATTATGCAAATAGTCTTTATACTTTAATTAGTAGAACCTTTAGACATATTGTTCTGACTGTGTCACAGTGAAGCATTTATTTACATTTCAATAGATCAGGGACTATATTCACCAAGGAGAGTGAAGAATTGAAAGTCGTTTTAATTTAATTATATTAGGCATAAGATGGTTGTAAAGAATAAGGAAAATTAATATGGTTCTGCACATATGTAGTATTTGGTAAAGTACATGAAAACTTCATTATACTAAAATTGTGCATTATATATTAAAACTGTTCAATTAAAATTGCATTACTTGAAAGAGAGAACTCTGCTTAATTCCACAGAAAAGAATTGACATCACTGGAATAGAGTTCCTTCTTAAGGTAAAAGAGAAGCAATATTTAATCATTCTAGTACCAAACTGAAGTTTTTCCCTCAGTGTGGTACAACAGGTTACTTTGTAACAAGTGATTAGCACTTACAATTTTATTTTAGATATTAAAGCTTTGCTTTTTTTCTGGTTAATAAGTAATACATTCTTCTGTAAAAAATGAATACTTCAGGAATGTATGAAAATTTAAAAAGCACAGGTCTCCTATTACTACATATACTGTTTTGCAGCCTGCTTTTTAAACTTGAAATTACATACTGAACAACTTTCACTTCAGTATAGATGTATTGGTGCTACATAGTATCCCATTGTGTGTGTGTGTGTGTGTGTGTGTGTGTGTGTGTGTGTGTGTTTGTGTGTTTGTCTATATCACGAAAAATTTAACTTATTTTCCATGGAACCACATCTGGATTTATGTCTGATATGTTGCTGCCTTCAAAGCTGAAATGAACAGTATTCATGCCACTTTGTATTCCTGTGGTGTTCTGATTTCTCCTTTCTCATTCATGATTTTCTTTGAGTCCTTCTCTTTTCCTTTTGATAAGTTTGGCTAAGGCTTTATCAATCTTATTATTTCTTTCAAAGAATCAGCTCCTAATTTCATTGATCTGTTCTCCGGGATTTTTTTTTTTATATCATTTATTTCCACTCTAATCTTTATTATTTCCCTTCTTCTGCTTGCTTTAGGATTCATTTGTTCTTTTCCTGCCTCCATTAAGTGTAAGGTTAGGTTGTGTACCTGAGATTCTTCTTGCTTCTTTAGGTATGCTTGTATTGCTATATACCTCCCTCTTATGACTGCGTTGGATGCATCCCAAAGGTTTTGGATCATCGTGTTTTAAGTTACATTTGTTTCTACGTATTTTTTCCTGTCTTCTTTAATTTCCTAGTTAGCCCCATCATTCTTTAGTAGGATGTTCTTTAACCTCCATGTATCTTTGGTCTTTCCAAATTTTTTCTTGTGGTTGACTTCAAGTTTCATGGTTTTTTTTTTTTATACATTACTTTATTTATTTATATTTTGAAAGTGAGAGAGAGCACAAGTGGGGAAGGGCAAAGAGAGAAGGGGAGGGAGAGTCCCTAGCAGGCTCCACAGTGCCAGCATAGAGTCCACTTCAGGGGTCTCACACCCACAAAGCTGTGAGATCATGACCTGAGCCGAAGTCGAGAGCTGAATGATTAGCTGACTGAGCCACCCACGTCCTTCACGTTTCATAGCTTTGTGGTCAGAAAATATACATGATGTACTCCTAGTCATTTTGTATTTGCTTACGCCATATATGTGACCTAGTATGTGTTCTCTTTTGGAGAGTGTCCCATGTGCACTTGAAAAGAATGTGTATTTTGCTCTTCTAGGATGTAGTGTTCTGAATATATCTTTTAAGTCCATCCAGTCCAGTATTTCCTTCAAAACCATAGTTTCTGTTTTGATTTTCTGCCTAGATGATCTAAGTTGGGTGTTAAAGTCCCCTACTGTTATTGTATTATTATCAATGAATTTCTTTATGTATGTTATTGTTTTATATATATTCGGATATTCCACATTGGGGGCATAGATATTTACAACTATTCATGCTGATTTTGTACACTGTGTTTTGTATGATTCATTCTTTAAAGTGGAAGAGTAATTTAAAAATACAGTGGAAGAGGAGACTCAGATTTATGAACATTAGAAATTGTGCCAATAAATTTACGTATCCAACTGAAACATATTATGAAAAAATGTTTTTCTCGATTTCTTATTCATAGAAAAGCATAGACATACACACAGCTAAATTACAGTCCTAGAGGAATATGTTCATTTTATTACATATGACAAGTAAATGGCTACATTTTATTTTAACGCCTATGTGAAATTAAGTATAATCAATCACCATGAGTTATTTCCTCATTCATATAAGCTTTTTACTTCTTGCTTCATCTTTCCTTTCTAAACTTTCTGTTACTTACATACTGTTTAGTAATAATATAATGACAGTGTTTTATGACTTTTAATATTCATGCTTTGCTTGTTGCTTTGTTTTATGAAAGGTCTATGCCAGAAAGGAAGCCTTAAAGGGAGGTTTGGATAAAACTGTAAGTCTTCAGAAAGATCTGTCAGAGATGCACGAATGGATGACACAAGCTGAAGAAGAATACCTAGAGAGAGATTTTGAGTATAAAACCCCAGATGAATTACAGACTGCAGTTGAAGAGATGAAGGTAAAATAAACCAAGTAAAATGAGACAAAGAAAGAAAAAAAAGGAAAGATGCAACATTGCTTGACTTTATGATTCTACACTATCTGCTCTTTCCTTGGTTTAATAGTGGAGGTTGATTTTTAATGAATTCAGATTCAAGTTCAGTATGCATTATGGATTCTAAAACTTTTGTTTATTAATTTTAATGCATTGTGGTCAAAATATGAATATGGAATATCACTGGAAGGAACATTTTTCCCCCATGAAATTATATATTATTAAGAGATTGGAATCAGCTAGTTAAATTAACAGTGATGAAAATTCAAATTCAAAATATGTCAAGTCTTAATGCCATGACAGTTGAAAATCTAGTTAACAGGCTGTGTTAATTTGGTGGCTTAACGGAGTTTCTAAGAATTTGGATGCTAAATACTTTAACAGATGGCCTTTAATGTGAATAAAAAGTTTACATGGACTTCTTCTGAACAGTAGTGTAAAAATTAATATTGATTTAGGACCAAGGAAAATAGTATGTAGCAGGGACTGGGGGATGAGGCCTGAAGTAGAATCTGTGCAGTGGCATTTCGGTATGGCCTTGGACACCTCAGCAATCTCTACTTTGTTTTGTCTACAGCATGTCATTTTCTTTTCCTTTTTTTAAATTTTAAAGTTTTTATTAAAGTTTTACATGCATTTGATTTTTTAAGAATTTTAAATATATTTATTTAAATTCAAGTTAGTTAACATACAGTGTAGTATTGATTTCGGGGCGGAAACCAGTAATTCATCACTTTACATACAACACCCAGTGCTCATTCCAACAAGTGCCCTTCTTAATGCCTGTCATCCATCAGCCCATCCCCCCACCCATCTCCCCTCTAGCAGTGCCTGGTTTGCTCTCTGTATTTAAGAATCTTCTACCATGTGTTTCCCTAACTTGAATGTATGAACTAAGAATTGCAACTTACAGGTAAGTAAATTGCCTTGCTCAGAGTGGGCATTCAGTGATTTGCAACTATGATGATGATAATTATTATCTTTCTGTACTAGCAGTAACACATCATTTAACCACATGAACCTGTATGAAGCATTAATAAATATTTATTTGACTCCTGGCCTCATGACCAAACAAAATCTTTATGGAGGCAGACACTTGGGTTTAAAATCTGGTTTGTTCCCTTGCCGACTGTTGGTAAACATGGTTGAGTTAACCTGAACACACTGGGCTTGAACCCCTGATTTGTGGACTAGGTATCAAAGTGCCTGCTTTTCAGCAGTATTGTAAAGGTGAAATAGGAAAATTCTCATGAAATGCCAGGCAAAAAATAGACACCTCAAACTAGGTAATTATTATTACCATTATTATTGTCATTGATGCCACATCGTATGAAATTAATTACATATACTTTATTATATAATGTATATGATCATTCAGTGAATAGTTATTATAAGTAATAGTAGAAAATACATTAATACTGAGATGTTTAAATATCACTGGATTATGTGTTTTTGTCACACGTAGAGAGTAAAATTAAAACATACGTGGATACTGTATTTGAGCAAATGGTGATAGTTTTCAGAGTATTAAAAGCTACGAAATTATTCTAATCTAATAATACTATTTATCATTTATTAATTTAAGCAAAAAAACACTAATCGCATACTTATTATGTGCCAGGTACCATTTTAGACCATGAACATGGTGGGCAAGACTTAAAAGTGACCTGACTTCCTGGAACTTAGGTTCTAGTGGAGGGAGGGCAGGCATTGAATGGAGAAATAAACTCTTTTGAGATCATGGTAATCTGCCTAAAACATAAACCAAGATTGTGAAATAAAAAAAAAATAATTAGAGCTAGGTGGGAGTTGCAGGTGGTAAATGCCATTTTAGAAAGGGTTGACATGTAGGGAATTCGTGAGACATTATATTTAATCTGAGATATGAATCCTAAGAAAAAGCCCTAAAGAAAAAAAACTCGTAGAAACACATTCCAGTCAGAGGTAAGAGATCCTGCAAAGACCCTAAGGCTCATTGGGAAGAGAAAGAAGCCTGCCAACCTGCAGAGAGTAAAACAGGAGAAATGTCCTCAGATGATTTTGAGGGGTTTGGCCGACAGCTGCTAATACAGGAGTTTTGTAGGATTTGGGGGAGTTTTCATGAAAAGCGAAATGGGAAATCTATTGGAAGGTTTCAAACAAGAGACTCTAATGATTTTAAATTTGACTGTGGGAAGTCACTCTTAGGGAAATTATATCAGTATAGATGGTGACAACTAGAAGATACTTTGGAAACAAAATAGTCCACTCTTGCCTCTGCTAATACAAAAACTGAAATCCCCAGATAGTTTGAATAATGTCATAGTCACAGGCTGTATCCGTGGGAGAGCCAAGAGTATAAAATATATTTCATTCCCGCCCATCCCAAGCGATTCCAAGACTTTCTGTTTTTTCTTTTCTTTTGTTTTCTTTTCAAGTCATATGCATCCCTTTTTGCTTTCCCCTCACATCTCAATCCCCTCATGGCTGTTTCCACTGCCTCTTCTAATATTATGTAGCCACTGCCTCAGATCCCTAAGTAGATAATCAGCAATGAGCTTGCGTCCAGCTGTTGTATGTCCCCCAGTTCCTTTGTTTGGCTCTGTCCGTCTTTCAGCCTAACCAGATCCTTTTCTCTTTTCCAGTGCTAGAGAGCAGACTGTCTGAAACTTTAGAATTGTGCATCCAGCTTTTGATATGAGCAACCCAGCCGGTTAGGCCATGTTGATTTACTTGTTGAAATAACTGATCTAGCTACAACATTGGTCCACTCTGGGGCTGATACTGAAAAGAGGAAAAGCTCAGGCAGCCTGTGACAACAGCCACGAGACTTGGCAAAAAGATCCATTTTTTCTTCTTCTTCTTCTTTTTTTTTTTTTCTTTTTTGTTTTTGCCTGCTAGTCAAGGTAATCCCTTTAGGTCTGTTTCACTAGGTAGAGGGTAGTAATAGTACCTTGTCCCGTCTTCTACCTGTGCTCATGTTGAGAGCACATTTATCTTTATTGTCAAAAGAGACTGGCAGACCTACTAAGACATCTGTCCGTAATTTACTCAGGGAAAAAGTGGAGACATCCTTCTGTGCTTTACTTGAAATTGATAGTGTTCTTTTCATGACTTCTTTTTCCCCTATAAATAAAACCTTTCAATTAACATAAAAGAACCTAGGTGAGTGTTTGATAAGCAATTATCTGACTTCAGAATTCTTTTGAAGTTCTCCAGTGTCTAAATGGTAAAACTTTATGTTAAGCCCTTAAAAAATCTCTGATGTTTCAGTTTTAACTGTTTTTCTTCTTTATATATATATATATATATATTTTTTTTTAACTTACACTATTATAACTCTAGTCTTTGTGCTTACCAGAATTACAAAGATGTGTTTACTGTTATCATCATACGGGTAACAGACTAGAACCATGATTCTCACAACTGAGTGAACATCACGTTCACCTGAAGGACTTGTTCAGACACAGACTTTTAGGCCCCACCCCAGAATTTCTGATTCAGTATGCCTGGTGAAGAACCGGAGAATTTTTATTTTGAACAACTTGTCAGGTGATGCCAGGGACCAAGTTCCAAAGTGGTTTCAAGAAACAATGTCTTGAGAACCAGTGGTTTGAGATATTGGTAATGAAAGGTGTCCGAGCATATGATGGTTAGGTTCATGGAAATAAAGGGAGGGGAAAAAACATCATTTCTGATCAGGATTTTGTCTAAATTCTACCAATCATTTATTTTTCTACCTTTCTTTCCAATGGAAATTTTTTATCTCCTTTTCTCCTGTGAATATTTCCCTCCTTCTAAGCTTGTTTGTTTAAACCAGAATTTATGAAAGCCTAAAAAGGAAGGAAACAAGTGTTCCTCATCCTGCATTTTTGATGGGTTGTGTGTAACTTGTATGAATTTTTATTCCATTCATTGGATCCTGTACAGCATGCTTCTTCATTTCACGGAGGATTTGAGATGGGCTTAACATAAAGCAGAAGAAAGAAGATGTAGTTTCTAGGATGACTTTCTTAAACACTTTGAAACTCAGTTTTCTCAGGTCAGATATTCCACAAGGTTTTATTAAAGATCCAACAAAGTAGCACATACAGCATGCCTGACATGGCACACAGCAGCACATACAAAGTGATTAATGTTGCCAAAATTGTTTGTCATGCTAAAATTACTATAGTCATAATATGGTTTGTATAGACACAGAGCTCTTCCTCAGTAATACCAAAAACAGATTTGAGAATTTGAGCTAAAATTTTCAATGAAATAAATTAAAATCAGTGAAGGCAATCATCTAGCATTCAAAACAACTTGGATTTGTCATCATATTGTATACTTGTAAGGCATTATGCGAGTAAATCCAAAAGCATAGGATGATTGTATTTAAATATACCAAGGCATTTTTTAACCGACCTTGTCCATTTTTTTGCCCATATCCCCTTACTCTCACCTACTACACTGCATGTAGGGCCACCTTCCCCCTGCTAGAACCTGCATTTCTTTATGTAAGGACTTTCTGTGTTTCCTGAATCCCACCTATGTGTCAGGCTTCACTACTATGAAATTAACGTTCCCCCAACAGCCTTCAACCAGTGATGAGAGATGGTGTATAAATACCGTAATTTTTCACTGTTGATGGGGGGAGCCCTGAGGCATGTGTTTCCCAGAGCTTCCCAGCAAGATTAAAAGCCAGTCATCGAGAATGGTTGCTGGGATTAATAAGTGTGCCCTTAAAAATCTCTCTTCCCTTGCCTGTCTCCATTCCCCATTCTTTACCAGTATTTCCTGTACATGGCACATAAACCAGTTATGTTTTAAAACTCATCTCAGGGTTGACCTTTGGATTAACTCAAAGATATATTGTGAACAAATGTGTGTGAGAGAGAGAGAGAGAGAGAGAGAGAGAGAGAGACAGACAGACGTGCATGTACCCACTGAAAGTTAAGGAGTATAAATACCCTCCAGGTAAAAACCTTCAGCAACTTTCATGTAATTGAACAAGTTGGGTTTATGACTTCTGGCATGCAGGGAGAGTACACACCCTGGGGAACTAACTGGGTTGTATGAGTCAGAGCATATTAGAAAGAACCTATGGTAGGATTTGGGCTGGTGTGAAATGATTTGAGGGAGAAATGATTTGAGGGAGAGTTGAAGAGCTTTGCTTTGGATTGTATGTTGTCAGTGCATGGGAGTAACTCTGTGATTGGTATCTCAATAAACCTGTCCTAGAATGAAGGAAGACTAGAGTAAATTTGGAGGTAGAATTGATAAAGAAGCAGCACAGAGTCATATAAAAGGGGACAGGCAAGCGTTTGGGATTTTGTGGTTTGGACAGTGTTTATATTTTGTATGTATTCTAGCATGGCTATGGAGAGTATAGTGGCCTTGTTGTCATGATCCGCAGTGGTAACAAAGTAGCCTTGTCTGATGTTGATATTCTGTGAGACAGTTTAGCTTCAACCTGAGAAGAGCAAAAAGGCATGGCTGAGTACCAGATGAGCCTCCTTGCTATCAGAGGCTGCTCTTCTCTTTCTGTTGTATTTGTCCAGTTACTGAATAGAACTTTTTTTTTTTTTCAAAATATGGTCCTGGGGGCACCTGGGTGGCTCAGTCGGTTAAGCATCTGACTTCGGCTCAGGTCATGATCTCACGATTTGTGGGTTCAAGCCCCATGTTGAGTTCTGTGCTGACAGCTCAGAGCCTGGAGCTTGCTTCAGATTCTGTGTCTCCCTCTCTCTCTGACCCTCCCCTGCTCACGCTGTCTCTCTCTCTCAGAAATAAAATATTAAAAAATATATATATGGTCCTGGATGTAGCATTAAGAAGACTTTTCTTTATCAGTTATTTTTTATTTAGATAATGATAATTGTACTGATTCCAATATTACTCATCTATCTGAGTAATTTATAAATGATTTTAATTTTAGAGTATGGGATATTTTTGAATGTAGTACTGACATACTTGTTTGTTTTATATGTGTGTAGGCATGTGTATACACACAGACACACACATTTATATTTGAAAGAGAACACACCCCAAATATATAACCCACATGTAGACTGCTTTGCATTCTGATTAAAGTGCTGTTACATTCTGATCATAATTTTTTTTTTCTTTCTGATTTCAAATTTTAGCTAAACCTAAATTAACAGAAGTTATTGTAGTCACTATTAGATTTATTTTTATTGATCTCCTAATAGGGATCTAACCGGGATCTTGTGGGGAAGAAAGTATATGACACACTGGAATACATTTTGGAACTAAAGCCATTGCCTTGCTGTTAAGTAAGAGAACATTCTTTATTTTTCAGAGAGCCAAAGAAGAGGCCCAGCAAAAGGAAGCAAAAGTGAAACTCCTTACCGAGTCCGTCAATAGTGTCATAGCTCAGGCTCCTCCTGCAGCACAAGAGGCCTTACAAAAGGAACTTGACACTCTAACCACCAACTACCAGTGGCTCTGCACCAGGCTCAATGGCAAATGCAAAACCTTGGAAGTCAGTTGCTGTTTTTGATCTTTATTCATTATGTGTCGATGTATGGTCATATGTGATGCTCAGTGATTAAGAACATGAACACCAGTGTCAGACTACTTAGGCTTGAATTCCTCACAAAGGCAGTCAAGTTTGTAACTTTGGCCCAGTCACTTACCTTGTAAAAATATGTTTTCTATCTGTGAAATGGTCAAAAAAAAGTCTCTATTTCGTAGGGTGTTGGGAAAATTAAATGAGCTATTCTGTTTCAGGTACTTAGCCTGGTGCTCAGTAAATGTGAGCAATTATAATCCTAATTCTTCTTATTATTACTATTATTATTAGGTCACAAAAATCTTACAAGTTTTCCCAAGATTTATAGAAGCTGGTCAGTACTTTTACTTATATTTGAATATGCATAAAATCATAAGTATTTTAGAAAGGTATTTCGTGGAGAAGTATATTTTATTATAATTGTTTTTAGTAACCTCTATGCTCTATAGAGTTTTTCACAGGACATGTTGTCTAGCTCTTTGGGGGAGACATTTTGCATTATACTTATCATAAGTGCTGCTTTATCTTTTTCACATGTTTTTACCCCTTAGTTTATGCTTATCTGAAAATAGTTGATAAATAACTCATGTGCCTCAAATGATTACCGTGTAACTGCATCAAAAATAAATTATGAGTCTCCTTGTGAAAATACTATTTACTAACAGTAAGGATTGTTCCCGGGGCAGAAAACTTTACCTAGCGCCAAAAGCTGATGCCGCCAGATACTTCTCACTAGCTCGGCTTTAAGTTAAGGCCCCTTCCCCCTCATGAACTGAGTCATCTCAGTGAATATAGTTGATAAAGAATTCATATATATTCCAAACCAGTGGAGAGGGATAAAAAAGGGATAGTTTAGTAGTCTTGAAAAATTTATTAACATGAAAATAAAAGATGCCTTTGGAAAACATATCCCAAAACAGATTTCTGAGGGATTAGCATATCTGTTAAATGGACAACATGACCAATAGGAAGCAAAGAATAATAGTGATGTAAAGAAATCAAGGACATAAGAAAATATTTAAATGTTTTATTTCAATATTGTCAGAAAACAATTTTCTGGATACTAAAGGTCCCTCCCCTGTGGAGCATGATAGTGAATTAGTTCTGACTGCCCTGAAACTCCCTGTCATCCCTTCCCTTCCTTTCCCATTCTTTGTTGTATTTTCTGTAGCACTCAGACAACAGATTTTGCTTTTATCTCTGTCTATTCATTTGAGTATGGTTCACATGCAGTGTTACATTAGTTTCAAGTGTAAGCATAGTGATTAAACAGCTCTATACATTATGCTATGCTCATTACAAGTATAGCTACCATCTGTCACCATATGCTATTATTGAAAGGTTTCCCTTTGATATTTTCTATATTTCCATTTCTGTCAATTGGATTCTGTGTATTTTTCTGAAATTCGTCTTCCATTTCTCAAATTATCTCTTCAACTGACTACTGCATATTTTATCCTTTGATGAAATATATATACTCATCTCTATATACACATCTACCTCTGTATGTGTGTGTGTATTTTTCTATTTTTTCGAAGATCTTATTTTTCATTTCTTAAAATTTTACTTATTTTGAAATTTGTGTCTTCTTCTATATAATCTTCTGGTTTTCCATAATTAATTCTTTTCCTTTTGTGAAACAATTTAAGCCTATGCAGTTCATTTGGTTGCAAAGTCTCTGTGAGTAATGAGCGTGAAGCAGTTTTGATTTCCCAGTAACTGTAACCAGCCATGTCCAACATCAATTTCTGCCTGGTAGTTGGCCTCCTAATCCCTATTGCAGATTGACCCCAAGACTTTTCATTCGCTTTTAATTATTAAAATTTAGTCTTACTTAAATTTTGATCTCATAGTGTATTAACATCTTCCATTAGTTTAGGTGAATCTATGGCTTCCGCAAATTATACAAAGGTGGGAGTGAGAACAACAATGATCATAGAGTCCCCTCATCCCAATCAGTTCGTGGATAGTAATTGTACAGTTTTGATTTAAAGGAGGATAATGAGGGGAAAATATACTCTTGATATCAATGTCCTTTTCTTTGCTGATCACACTTACTGTACCCTTTCATTAAGACCCAGAGACATCCGGGGCGCCTGGGTGGCTTAGTTGGTCAAGCGTCCAACTTTCGCTTAGGTCATGATCTCACGTTTCGTGGGTTTGCGCCCCGCGTCGGGCTCTGTGCTGACTGCCAGCTCAGAGCCTGGAGCCTGTTTCAGTCTGTGACTCCCTCTCTCTCTGACCCTCCCCTACTCACACTGTCTCTCTCTCTGTCTCCTAGAAATAAATAAAACATTAAAAAAAAAAAAAAAGACCAAGAGACATCTGTGATGATGGATATGTTATAACCAGATTTACTAGGTTATAACTACTGATCTGGTTTGTTCCCTGTAGACTTGATGTTATCTCTGAGGGATCCATATTCATATAGACTGTGAACCCCCACATGGATCTTCTTTGCATTCTTGATACCTTGGAGTATTCAACACAATTTCAGGCTAACTCTTGCCAGTACCTTTAAACCACATCCTCTTGAAAGTTTCTTCCTTTAAGCTCATGTTTCCATGATGCTTGGAGTCTTACTTACCAATCACATTTCATCTTAGCCTGCAAACACTGACAAATCCCATCTCCCATAACTCTCAGGAATTAGAAACTTTCAAGAGTTGTCCCTGATTCCTCTTTGGCCATATCAGTAGCTCAGTAGGGAATGTATACCAACAGTCTTTTTCTGAATGCACCCACCCACCCATTTGATGAGTGTAAGTATTTTAGATCCTTTTTTTAAAAAGGGACCAGATGAGTTTCTCTTAAACACTGCAATAATAAATTGAGGAAAAGAATTCCCTCAGAGGCATGTGGCTGGCTCAGTTGGTAGAGCATGTGACTCTTTATCAGGGTTGTAAATTTGAGCCCCACGTTGCATATAGAGATTATGTTAAAAAATAAAATCTTAAAAAAAATTGCCTCACTTTCCAATTCTACTCTCTTCACATCCTCCATTGCCCCCTGTATCAGTTTATAAAAACATGTAGCAGAAGTTTCTGTTCTAACATAGAATGCAGGGAACTTAATCCTTTTATTTCTTAAGTATGAGCTCCAGTTGCCAGTCTCAAGAAAAATAAATTCTACTGGTAACTTCTAAAACCAAGCTAAACTTACTTATTATAAAGTTCTTTACATCTGTGCTATTCTTAGATTATAATTTGTGGCTTCTACCATTCTTTATAACTAGTTACTGTCTTGAATGACAATGGATTTCCTCGCATGACTTGTAATTTGTTTTGTTTTGTTTTGTTTTTGAGCTCACCTTTAGTAGTTGTTTTACTAGAGATCCTTTCTGGTCTGGACCGTTGGAAGGTCCTTATGAGTTTTTTCTTAGTGTTTCCAACAGAGTCCTAGAAATCGTACATTCTACTCTCAGGTGTGATATAAACATGGGTTTCAGCTTTTTGTGCGTGAATCCTTACTTTCCAACCCAAATCCAAAGGATTCTCAGCTTCCTTGCTAATTCCTTGTACTCCAGTGGGTGGGGATTTTATAGCTCTTGCTTCCAGGATAGATGACATACCAATTTACGCTTTTCCATCTTCCTGGAATGCATGGGATCAGTGCCTCTCTTTTCATCCCAAGTTAGTGTTGAATACCGTAGCTTTTATGTCATATCCTGTTCTGATATTTCAGTATTTTGTTAAGCTTGGCCTCCCAACTTCTACAGGTGCTTAACGTCCCTTTTTGTTTCTCCTGCATAAGGATTTTCCTATTTCATAGAGCAGCCACGAACTTAAATGTTTTCCTTTAGAATTTATCCAGCATTTCAGTACTACTGAAGGAAGGGGCGGAGGGATTACCACATCAGCTCCATTCACGAATTTGAATGGAAGTTTCCTTTTTTGTTTGTAATCCTTTCAGAGCCAGTATGAGTTCTGTGATTTCAAAGTAGTTTTAAGTTCCAAACTGTTAAGCTTAACAGTTATTCTAAGTGGCTTTTAGCTCCAATCCAGGCTGTAAGACTACATTTTATTTCGCAGAGGTGACCTGTAAAGCCAGTACATTCAGCCTCTCCAGCTGTGTCCTTCAGATGCGTTGAGGACACAAGGGGCCATCCATCCTGACGGTTAAATCAGCAAGGTAGTTCATTACCTCATTCTGCACCAAAGTTAATAAGACACATTACCAATCACATCTCCTTATCTTCAAAGCTGTCAAGTACCCTCGGGTATTTAAGGAGATATTTATATTTTCCCACTGGGATCTCTGCCCAGAAGGAAGACAGCCTGTAGTCCAGCAGGAGCTGGAAATGGCCCAGATTTAAGATTTCTAGCACCTTTTAAAGTAAAATACTTAATTTCACTTTCTATATGAAACTGTACACGAGATACCAAGCAAATATGGGTAGGATGGCAAGGCAGGTTAGACTCATACTTTCCATCAATCAGAGAGGGAGTGCCCTCCATCATTTGCAGGGGCTATAAGAAAAGGGAAATCTGATAGAATTTTTGGTTTCTCTTGAAATAAAATTTCCTTCCTTGGCTATTTTTTATGGTATTGGGGGGTGGATAGCAGGATGTGGTGATTGTACCACTGTATTTATAGGCTGGCCCAATATTTACAATCTCAAAGCTAATGGAAAATGACCATTTTTGTATTCTTACCATCTAGCACATCTTCTCTTTTTTTCCCAGCAGATATAATCATAATCGAGAAATTTGCCTTGATTATTTCTTGGCTTAAAAATCTTGTATCACAGACATATGAACACCTCAGTAACATATTGCTCAGTTTTGCTTGTTTTGAACATTAAAAGAGTCTTAACATAGAGTATTGTAGTTTTCTAGGGCTTGCCCATTTTGCCCAGTAGTTTTGTGTCTGAGACTCATCCATGTTATTCTATGTAATGAAATTTTTACTTCTGTGGTCTCTGTTTAAATGTCATACAGTGTATTTATACATTTTCTTGATGGTGGACATCCAGGGTGTTCTAAAAATTTTGGTTATTACAAAAAGTGCTGAAATGAATACTCTCTTACCTGTCTTTGTTGTCTACACAAAGCAGTTTCTCTGAGGCTGTGTACTTAAAGTGGAGTTGCTGGATTCTTGCTTATGTGAATATTTACCTTAGTGAGAATGACACATTGTTTTCCAAAATGGTCATTCCAGTATACACACCCAGTAGCAATAAATAAATACAAATTTTTGTTAATATGTATCTTCTCTTCCACTTGAAATTGGTAAATTTCTCATATGTGTCAGTCAGTCAACATGGCATGCATATCACATTGTAATTCCCTCGATTACTAATAAGGAAGGACGTATTTTCATGTTTATTGGTTAGGCATATATCTTTTTCTTTGAAATGCTGGTTCAGATTTTCCTTTCATTTTCTATTGGGATATCTGTTTACCTTTTAATTTACTTTTTGGCATTCACTTCTTACTCATCTGTTACATATTTTGCAATTGTTTTCTTAAAGTTTGAGGCTGTTTTTCAATTTCCTTATGGTGTCTTTTGATGAATAGGAAAGTTTAATTGTAACATAATCACATTTATTCATCTCTGTCTTATATGTGTGTGTTTTTTTTAAAATGTCTTACTTGAAACCTCCTTTCCCATACCCAACTGATAAAATACTTTTTTATACTTTCTGGTTGCAATCCTGAAGTTTTGCTTTTTTTATATATGAATATGTTTATATATTATGGTCATCATTTTTCAATTTATATCAAAAGCCATTTAAAAATAGTCATATCCTTGAAACAGCTGTGTCATAATCCTCTTAATATACCTGAAAGAAATAACTTGAAATATGAAAAAAATCCATATTCCTGATGATGTTCACTTCAAATTTATAATAGCAAATAAAACTTAAAATAGTCTAACTACCCCAAAAGTGTTGATAAGAAAACAAAAGTATAGCCACTTTAATGGAATTTGAGATTTTCATTGAAAATATGTCTTCTTAGTATTACGGAAAATTTTTTTGTTGTTGTTTGTTTGCATTTTTATTTTTACTAGCTTTAGCAGATACACACAAAATCATTTGATTTTGTTCATTCCTATTCATTATCATCTGAGTTTTTGTTCTAGCAGGATGTTTCTATTTGAGTTCTCATAATTCTAGGTTAATATTAAAAAAAAATGTAGCCAATTTTCCTGAAATTGCAAAGCTGAGAAATCCAAGAAGATTTACTTTTGCTGTATTTGCTATCTGTAAAACATTAAACACAAATATCCAGTTTTGTGTCTGCAACTAGTTGGCAGTGTCCCATTAAACCATATTAAAATTAACTTGTATTTTTAAAAATATTTTTAAATAGTTTATTGCCAAGTTGGTTTCCATATAGCACCCAGTGCTCATCCCCACAAGTGCCCTCCTTCATGCCCATCACCCTCCTTCCCCTCTCCCCTCACCCCTATCAGCCCTCAGTTTGTTCTCAGCATTCAAGAGTCTCTCATGCTTTGCCTCCCTCCCTCTCCCCAACTATTTTTCCCCTTCTTCTCCCCCATGGTCCTCGGTTAAGTTCACATGATATAAAGTTTAAAGAGCATGTTATAGTTTAGCAAAAGTATAGCTACATCTGTACTTTAATGTTAAGTATCCAGTTACTGTCTGTGTTAAAGTGTAAAGGTGGTCACAGAAAAGTGGTCATGCTTATTGTTTTGAGATGTTAGATTTATATATCCATTTTTAGATATGCTTTTATTTCTTTTATTTTCCATACTCTAATGTTCATGAGGGCTTTTTTATTTAAAGAAGTAAATCACTGACTCTTTAATTAGTTTCTGTAATAGAATGCTTCCTTAATGATTAGTAATTATAAACCTATTAGATGATCAACATGACCAGCTGCATTTTCAATTATTACTGCATAGGAAAGGTGAAAGATGTGAAATAAACACGTTCTATTTTCAGAGTTTTAAAAAATGCAAATTCTAGAGTTTCACTGTTCACTTTCACATGAAATATTTCATCTGTGGTATGTATTTCTTTCTTAGGAGGTTTGGGCGTGCTGGCATGAATTATTGTCATACTTGGAGAAGGCAAACAAGTGGCTAAACGAAGTAGAATTCAAACTTAAAACCACTGAAAATATTCCTAGTGGAGCTGAGGAAATCTCTGAGGTGCTTGATGTAAGTGGCGAATTAATCTAGATGATCATAATCGACATGCAGTGGACACCCGGTACCAAGTAGAAAGTAAAGGGAAAGAAAACAGTACAGAGCGAGAATGCCTGCTAATGCCTCCCCCACCTCCACCTCCCGCACAGGCACTTTGGAGGAAGCCTTTATTTCTTCTAGAAACCTTCAAGGTTTTAAAGAGCATTTAAATAACCTCTTCCAGAGGACCTCTGCCCTTTTTAAATTATGAAGTTCTATGTGGCCACAGACAGAGCTGCACAGACAGTGTGAATGCACAAGTTTGCTTCTTTGGAGTAGAGCTAAACAGGATGATATTATAAAATGTTATTTCCACTGTAAAAGCTACATTTGTTGCGTTGAAATATACTTTTCAGTTATTTAAAAGCATGAATTTATACCTTACAGAATGTTGTGAAGTACCAAATGGCTATGCTCTGATATCAGAAATCCATCTTTAAAATGTTCATACATTTTAGTATTAGAGAATCTTAGTATACTTTCAAGTTTTATTTTGAAGACCTTTCAAAAGTAAAGTTTAAAGGAATTGGCATGTATAAACTTTGATTTATGTGAACTTCTAACAATAATTGATGTTCTAGCCATTTTCTTGTTCTTTTGATTAACCCTTTATATATAATGAATATGTAGTTTAGCCATATGTTTTGTATATAGGGCCATTTACAATATAGTCCATGTAAATATGCTAAAATGAGGTACATAAATTAAGATGTGAGGAAAATGGGAAAAAATGTTTCTTTAGATAGAATTGAGACTCTAGAATGTTATATACAGCAGAAACTTAAACATCATATCCAACTTCCTGCTTTTCTCAAGAGAATTGTCAAACCTGAAGAGGGATCGGTGAACAGTGAGAGTGTTGGTCTTGTCCTGTTCAGATATGTGAATTGACCAAGCATTCCTCGTGAATCAGTCACACGATGCATCTTCCAAAAAAGATGAAGCACACACAGTGCATTAGTAGAAGGCTGGTGGCCAGAACAAAGGGTGTGATGATGTACTTATCCTATTAAATTATCAGGTGGAAGGACTTCATTCTCATCTTTCTTGCCTTTCAGTGCAAAGACGGCTGCTCCACTTATAAGCTGTGTGTGTGTGAAAAGTATGAAGGGCAAAGGGATTTTTTCTAAATGTTGTACGTTTTTTTTAAATTTGGGAAGGGAAACTACTCTTGAATTTCTACCTGCATATATTGTCAGAATCATGTCACTTAGCCATCACTAGGTATAAGAGAAGTTGAGAAACTGAGTATTTTGTCTTTCCAGGTTTAAGAGTAGAGGACATCAAGGAAGAAGGTGACTGTGAATAATTTTTAAGTGCCCCAGTCCATAATCCTGCCACAAGCCCATGAAGATATACATGCAGAAATGTCCTGTTTTTTTTTATATATAACAATGGTCTTTGATGTTTTATTATCTCAATTAAGTATTGCTTGGAATTGCTTTTAACTTAATGATATGTAAATAAGGAGATACTGAGCATTTTGTGTTAATTCAATATATTTTGAGAAATAAGGGAAATAGTAATTATTGCAAATGTGTTTCAGTCACTTGAAAATTTGATGCAACATTCAGAGGATAACCCGAATCAGATTCGCATATTGGCACAGACCCTAACAGATGGTGGAGTCATGGATGAACTGATCAATGAGGAACTTGAGACATTTAATTCTCGTTGGAGAGAACTACATGAAGAGGTATGATGATAAAAGTAAAAAATCTTTTAAAATGGTTTGCATAAATGGCTAGCGAATACTTTTGGCCCTCTCTGATAAAACGGAGAATACTTTCAATATTAGCTTGGCTTCCAATTTCTTAAGAAATTGTCATGTGCTAAACATGAGTAAATTATTTACATGTGTCCTTTATTGTTTTGTCTTATAGAAACATTATAAAGTTTGGGTTTTAACAGAAAACTGAGACATACTGAATGTAGAAATGTGCTCAAGTCCACAAACAGAAAAGTTAGTCTGGTGTTCCACACCAGATCTTAACTGACCTCAGAATTCTTTTCCCTACCTAAGGTTACCCAGCATGTGTAGGTATCCTCGTCTCTTTCTCCCCCTCCCCCCACATCTCTCAATGCATGCACACACGTTTTATCGTCATGTGTAATGGGTTAGTAATATGTGTGATCTTATTAGTACCCTAGAAATTGTTTATTCTTCCTAAGTAATACTAAAGAGTTTTAGCTTATACATAACAGAGGAATTTTCATACTTAAAATCGATACCATGTGTGGTTTTTAAATTTTTTAATGAAAATTAAGAGAAAATAACTTATTACACCCAGTCAGTTAGTGTTTTGTGTACACTGTCCTAAGTCAAGAATAGGTTATTTATCAAAAAGAAAAAATTAGATCATAATGAACTCTAGCTTTATATCCATTTACTAAGTGTGTCTGTAACATGTGAGCCATTTTCTAAGGTTAAGTAATAAGTAGGGAAAGTTCCGCTCTTTCATTACTTACAAATACTGAGTAGTTTCACAGAAATCCACTGATCTTTTAGTATGTTCAGGACATAAAAGCCAATAGTATCCTTATAAGATGCAAAAAGATGTGTTAAAAGGTATCATGGAGGATTAGAGAACCCAGAAAAGAGGCCACACATGTGTGGGTCAGCATTGGACGGCATTTGGGGTAGCTTTCCTAGAGAAAATTCGCTGTAAATGACATTTTAAAGGTAGAATGAGAGATTGCCAAATGGGTGAGTATAGGAGGGCCATTCCAGACAGGTAGGCATGCACATGCAAGTACTTGGAAATATGAGGGTGGTTATATATGCACATCTGCAAACCATTTGGTTTTGTTGGAGCATAAGGTACAGTTGGAGGAGTGTCTGAAAGTAGGCCTGAGCAAGTAGGCAGGAACATGGTTCCTGAGGGAGACCTCTGCTTCTCAAACACCCTCGTCTCTAACCATGAACTCAGGGAACCACTGAAGGGTTTAAGATATAAGGGGGAAGGAGAAGAGAAGTGCCACATTCAGGTCACATTACCTCCACAGAGGCTTTGGAAAGTATGTGGTATAAGAGATCGGGGGAGGGCAGGTAGTGAGACCAAGGAACAAGTGACATTTTAGCTCAGTTGAAGGCAAGGGCAGTGGGATAGGTACAGTGAAAATGAAACATCTAGGGGAGCATCTAGGTTTCTGATTCAGTTGACTGGGTATCTCTTCTTTTTTCTAAACAAGATGGAGAGAATAAGGAAGAAAAAAAGCAAGTTTGGAGGTGAAAAATCGCATGTCACTTTTTATCTCCATTGATCCTGAAGTGCCGGTTTAAGTTTCATACCAACCAAAAGCAATCCCTGAATCAAGGACTTAGGCTCTGGTAGTTAATTTGGAAGATAATACCAAGAAGGACAAGTGAGGGAGTGGGGGGAGGGGGGAATGAAAGCTTGGAAGGTTGATAAAGGGTACTTCTATCAGTGAGTTTCCACTGTGAGTGACAGAGCTGGTGCCACTGGGAGCCTTAAAGAAATCATGTGGAACACTGGTGCTCCAGAACACGCTCAGAATTGTCCCCCCGAGCTCATGGAAATTAGAGTGTTTATCCACCGATTTCCTCCTCTTTTTGTTGGAGGATTGCCCTCAGGGGCATAATATCCCAGCACTTCTGGGCTGTTGAGGGTAGTCAAATTAAGGCCTGTGGGTGCTTACAGTGGGAAATTTACAGTGTTAGCAGACACTGGCCACCATAGCTTCAGGTGAACTCAGAGCCATTGAGGTTAAGGAGTTATGAGGTAGGTTATCAATAAAGTTGACTGCAGTACTTAGGGCATTACCAAAGACATTAGGGAAAAGGAAGGAGGAAGGCAGCTATGCACAATTGGCTGCAAAGGGAAAGAAAGATCCCAAGGGGGATGGTATCCCCCTAAGCTAGCATCTTAAGCTAAGAAAGTATGCAGGAAACCTGTTATTTTAGTGAGGGAGAAGTTTGATCTTGTATGTCAATTAGAAAGAAGTCTTGAATAGGAGACCCCTCAGATCTCACTGATGGTTAGGTGACCGTGGGGCAGATATGGGTGTGAAGGTCGCTTGCCATCTTCTGAATGGCTCTGAATCACTGCCTTTTCTTGAGCAGTAAACTTGAGCAGTTTAGTCAGGCTTTACCCATATCAGTACAAAGGACTGAGGGTTAGAAAAGGGATTCCAAACAGTCCATTGGCCTTTCACCCTTGTTCTGTTACTGGACATGAATAAGAGTAGTTATTCATAGGTGGCAACTAATTCAAAGTTCATTTAAATTTGGAGTTTGGTGCACAGCTGAAATGTGCTTTTATTTATATTTGAAAGTGTCAAGTCAGGAACTGCATTTCAAGCAAAAAAATCAAAAGTCACATTGTAAGACTGACCTTGGCTAAGCTGTGAAAAGGCGCAAATTGTAATCTTTAACAATGCACAGTCTATCTATTCTATCCTTAGGAATAGATCGTTTTCTGACCTGACCTTGTCATCGGGCTCATTTATGTAATATTCTTGCAAACTTCGAGTAACACAGAAACGACTTCTGTTCTTATTTTGCAAAGGTCTTTGGTGCAAAACCAGCCACTTTCCCCAAATAAATACAAATTCACCTCAAAAACAAACCTTGATTGAACACCTATCCTGCTATATCCAAACTGAGTTGTTAAAGCATTGAATATTGACTCAGAAAATCTTGGGTTGCACTAGTCCCTTGCTTTGTAATAGGGTTAGGCAGGTCACAGAAATGACACAGTAACTTGAACAGGGAAAGATTAATACAAATAACTATAAATGTTTACTGGGAATTAATTTTTAAGAGAAAACAGAAGACAACTCAAAAAGAACACCTTAAGGTTGAGACATAGTACCCAAGGAAGGAACTGACTAGGAAAGCGAGGAGCTCTCCCCAAGGCTGGCATTCAAACCTGTTTGGCAAGAGTGTGACTCCAGCCCATGAGATGGCCAAGAAGTTGTCTGGGTGGACCCCACCAGAGCTAGCACATACTCAGTGGGCTGAACCCTCTGTCACCAGAATCTTGGAGTGCAGTGCTGACAAAATTCAGCCTGAAGTAGCCTGCAGGGGATGCCCTTGAATTGCTGGGAGACCTCTTGCTCTTGCTAGGAAGCTACCTGTGACCTGTGCTGTTGAACTTAGGGAAACCAACTTCGACACCAGGAAGCTGTCCATGGACTTGTCACCCCTGATGAACCTGCTACGGGGGCGTGCACAGAGCTTGCCAGAAGGCATAGAGGGCGCCTGCTGAAATTTATGGGAGGAAGAGTTGGGAACAGAGGAGTTAAGCATCACCAGGCATCCTATGGGTCAACACAGAGCCATGGGAGCAAAAGAGAAGTAAAAATACCCTGGAACAGAAAAGTCCTTACTTCCCCCCGTGTTACTCCAGTGCCCTCTACTGACAAAGTTTAGCATCATGCCAGGTGGCAGAAGAGAAATACTCTAGTATCACAAACAGATGGTTGTTTAGAGGCATTAGGTTGGTAAACTGGCACATCCCTGCACAACTCGGTTCTGTGACCTTCGGTAATATTTCCAAGTTTCCATTTTGCCATCTCTGATGACGGCGCCTGTTTCATAGGGATCTGCTGAGCAAAATATAAAATACTGTGTGGAAAGTGCTTACTATAGTGCTAAGAGCATACTATGTATTCAATAAATGAGCGGTGCTTTATTTTTACTAGATTGTATGCTATAGTACCTACCCTCAAAGCCATGTGTGTGGATTCTTTTGTGTTGGCGTGTATGTGTGCGCACATACTTCCATTGCTTAGATGGAATAAACAAACAAATACATATATTCCAATATGAAAAACAATGAAATGCACATACTTCCATTGCTTAGGTAAATGCAGAAGACTGATAAAAGGACTTTTTATCAGCCCCTAAGTCTTAAAATTGGAAGGTGTTCACTTCTACCCCAATACAACATTAGCCATAATGTTGTAAAAGTAAATAACTTGAAATAAACTTAAAACCAGTATCAGTCCTGGCTATGCTAATATGAAATATCTAGCCAATAATAACCTGAGAGTAATTTGGCAGTCAGAAAAAGGCACATTTCATGCTTTAGAAAAAAAACATATGTTGGAGATAATATCCTTCTCAAATTCTTTGTGCTAGTCTTTAATCTCCTGTGACTTTAAAGATATGATTCTGAGTTAAAACGATGGGCAGTGACAGAGTTTTCCTATTTCTCAGGGTATAAGCTGGATTCTTTCAGCATTTCCAAACTACTTAGGTAATAGAGAAATACCTAATAATTTATTAGCTAAATTAATCATTCGGGTGTTCCCATTGAATATTTAGTTGAGAAGACTGATGTTTGGTTCAATGTAGAAAGAGCCTTGGGATAAATTATCCAAGGGGCTGAGGAAATAAAACGATTACAGTAATAGTTTTTAAATTGATTTATTTTCAAAAAAAATCTATATAGTACATTAGTTTGTTACAGTGAAAAATTCTAAATTTATTTTAAGCCATAATTTTCTTGATTTTTTTTTGTTGGCTAAAGAAAAACAGTTTTTCCATTAATAAACAAAGTGCCCTTCGAAGATGAGCCTTAGCCCATTTTCTTCTCTATTAAATGCCCATGTCAGAGGTTTGTGGGGTTTTTTTATTGCCTACCTAATGTTTCTTATAGCTGCAATTATGCAGAGCAAAGGTAACATTCAATTGCCTGTTAAATCAGTCAAACAGCTAGAGTTTTTATT